CCTCCCCTCCCCCCGTGCGCGCTGGCGCCCCCACCCCCCCGCCATTCACAGCGCTCGGCCAGCGCCATTCATAAACACCTCCCCCGCCCTGGGCCGCGCTGCGCGGCGCCCCGCCGCCAGGCCCCGCGTACCCGGCCGGGGAACGGCGGGCTCGGCTCAGCCGCCGCGGGCTCGGCAGCAGCCGGGCGAGCCGGGGCCGTGAAAGGGGCCGCTCCGCGCCCGGGCACCGCGCTGCCGCTCTGCACCCGCAGCACCCGAGCCAGCGGCCTCCGCCGCGTCCCGCCCCGCCCCGCGCCGCTTGTTTACCCTCGGCGCCAGCCAATCGAGCGCCGCTGCTCTGCCGCTCGAGCCGTCTGATTGGTTGCAACGCCGCTGCGTGCCCGCCCGCGCTCAGCTCGGACGAGACCATTGAGGAAGGCTGGGTGGGCGGGGACGGCGGCAGCCAATGGGCGCGGCGGGATTTGCATTGGCTCCGCGGGGAACGTTTTTCATTCACAAAAAAAAGAAGGGGGAAAAGGCCGGCGGGTGGGGCTGCTGCCGCGCAGCATTTAAAGGGGCCGCGATCCCCTCCCGCAGGGTGCCTTGTTGTGTTAAAGGATAGCCACGGAGGGTGGATGGGTCTGGGGACCGGATCCGAACGGGGATGGAGGAAACCTGATCTCTACACGCAGTGCCCGAGAACCTGCCGCACAGCAGCTCTGCAGATGGGGTGGGCCGCAGGCCCCACATGCCATGGGGACAGTCTGCTTGCTTAAGGGTCAGTTCTGCAGCAGCAAGACGCCGTCACACGGGTTCCCCTGCGGGCCCGGGGCTAGCCCATGCTTGAGTGCTGGGTTTGGCGGCCTTTCTCCTGCAGCCACCATGGGGGCAAGGTTTGTCTTTGAGAAGAGCTCGTTGGAGGAGGCCATAAGAAAAATAGTACCCACCTGCAGGGTTTTTGTGGCTGCTGTGGCCACAGACCCGCTCAGGTGGGTTTGTGGACACAAGCCCTTACAGGACTGCAAATAGCTTAGAGGATTGGGAGTGAGTTTAGGACACAGTCATGCCGCTGAGGGCCTGGCATTGCTCTGTCAAGTGCCCCAGTAGCTTCTCAGCTTGGGAAAGGAGAGGAGTCTGCTCTCGGATCCTAGGAATTTAGGCCTTAAGAAGCCTGTTGGTACAATGTTGAAGCCATTTTGAAATCCTTGGCTTCAGGTCATAGCCTTGCCAGTGTGTTGGGAGAGCTGCCTAGCATGGTTCTGGGCTGCTGGTGGGATTTCTCTGTCAGTGTTGGGGTACTGGTGAGCTTCCAGAGTCCTCCAGAGCCACCACCATCCCCCGGGGATGATGCTGGTAAATGGCTGGTAGCTCATCTGCCATCATGTCCTGTGTTATATTTGAGAGGACACCTACCAGGATGCACTGCCCACCAGGTGCCTGCCCCCAGCACAGGGGGAAGTGCGCAGAGGGCACGGGATGTCCTTGCTGCACAGGGATCATTCCTGGGGTGCTCTGCTGGCATTCTCACTTCCCCTCTGCACACAAGCAACCCAGATTAAATCACCACTGGTAAAATTAGCAGATGACACATGGGCAGGTGGGTGACAAAACCTGGGCCGGGGAACAAGGCAGGCTGCTGAGGACATGCGGGTCATTGCAGACTGGGGCACAACCAGTGACCCGAGGCACCCACAGCCTCAGCACCCTTGGGGCTCTTGCTGCCACCTGGCAGATGAAGAAGTGATGGGAGCTGAGTGCAGTGGTGGGGCAGGCTGGTGGGAGGCCACAGATGTGCCTTGTGAGGAGCTGAAGCCCCTGGAGAGCCAGGGCTGGGAGGGGGGATGGCAACCGGCACCTGCTAAAATTAGAGCCCACTCATGGGGAAAAAAAAAAGAGAGATCTAAAAAACTGCAGGCTCCAGATTTAGGCCGTTGCAGCTCCCACTCAGCATCACTCCATTGCACTGCTGCTGCCAACACCCCTTCGGCCCCAGCACCCCAAATCAGGCACCTCCTGTTTGGGATCTCAAAGGTGGCGACCTCATGCCTGGACTCAGGGAACTCCAGTGCACCTCAGGACAAGTATTTCATCACCATCTTTATTTGAGGCAAGCCCACAGCAGTCCAGGTGTACACGGCAACATGCGCTACACTACGGACACCATTTCCATGCAGGCAACCACAGCTATGCACACAGCAGGAGGACAGGGCTGGGAATGAGGCTCCCCAGCTCTCAAGGGTCCCCCAGCACTGGCACCAGTGCCTGGAGCTGGAGGTGATGTGTGGAGGCTTCTGCTCCATCCTGTGGCCTTCAAGGGATCAATGGGGCTGAGCTGGGAGACACCAAAGGAGACAAAGGGTTCAGAGCCTCAAGTTTCCCTCAGCCACATCTCTGGAACGAGGACAGCCAAGCCAGCATCCCAGCCCCTGTGGGTCCCCTCCTGGGTTGGAGACATTTGCACCATTAGACTGAGGAAGTCATCAGCTGCCAGGCACATTGAACTATGGCTTCGGCATAATGGGAGTGGATGGAAGCTGCATCTCCCAGGGGAGGTGGCAGGCTCCCCGTGCCCTGCAGAACACGTCTGAGTGCTCCTTCCTGGCTTTGAGCTCAAAGGAATGCTCTTCATCTCTAACACGCTGCCAGACCCCTGGGTCCAGGCATGCTGCCTGCTTGCTTCCCCTGCCTCTGTCACCACCAATGGCAAACAAGCAGAGGCCCAAGCGCTGCTCTTTGTCCTAAGCCAGCAAACCATGACCGGGTGCAAGGAGCAGGTCTGCTGTGAAAAATGTTGCTAATTCCATACAGGCACTTTCTAATTGGAGCCTTGGGATAAAACCCTGGGTTGAGGCTGAGCAGGCAGGAAAATGGATCCAGATCTGCAGCTATAAACACTGCTGACCTCGTGTGTCATCCCATGGATCAAACCTATCACCCCACCTGCTGGCAAAGTGCTGGAGATCACAGAATCACAGAATGGTTTCGGTCGGAAGGGACCTTAAAGCTCATCCGGTTCCAACCCCCTGCCATGGGCAGGGACACCTTCCACTAGAAGAGGCTGCTCCAAGCCCCATCCAGCCTGGCCTTGAACACTGCCAGAGATGGTTGAGGGTTCTTTCACCCACCCCAAGCAGGGGGCTTCCAGGCACAGCTGCTGCTGCAGAAGGGCTGGAGAAGCGGAGGCTGCTGGTTTGTGGGACACGGGGTTTATTTGGCCTGGCTCCCGTATGCTTTCACCTGGGTACTCATTAACAGGCGCCCCGGGTGAGGAGGAGCAGGGTGGATTTACACACTGTGGGTGGAGTGTGCTCGTGCACGGCTCACAGCTCTTGCGAACTGTGGCAACCTCTGTGCTCCGCAGCACAGGGCACCCTCCTCACGGCTCCTCAGCTACCACCAGCACACTGCTGGGTGCTACACTGCAGCGAGCGCCTGCCCCCAACTCGCCCTGCCCGGTGCTGGTGCCGAGGGCAGGAGGAGGGGGAGCTGTGGCAGCCCACTGGAGCCTCCTCCTGTGCCCTGGCTGAGAGGGGCACTTGTGGGATGGAGCCTGGCTGGGGCTCCCCTGGGGTGCTGCCACCTCCTCCCTTGTAAGCAGGGCCCTATGGCTGCTATCAGAAAGAGCACACACACGGCAGCACTGCCCCTGCTTGGGAGGGTGATCAGCAGCTCTCTTTCAGCTCACTGTTCACTCTGAAACATAATGACAGCAGCACCCTCTGCACAGACAGGAGGATGCTATTGAATGGAGACCTGCAGCGTGAGGAGGGACCAGCCACTGCGTCACTGGGGAGGATATGGTGACTTGTTCCCTGTGGCAGAGGCATAGTGCAGACAGGCAGTGGTTTTCCTGCCTGTGGCAACATCCATGGGGCACACACCGCTCCTGGATTCATGACAGTAGCACAGGGGCCTCCACCAGAAAGGAGGCAGCTGCCTGGGAATGGGGACTGACTGGGGAGCTGGGCATCCCCCCACACAAGCGTCACTGCAGGAGACAGCAGCTGCCTGCAGAAACAACCAGCAGCTTTTCCTGTGGGCTGACCCTGCCTTCTCCTGGCTGCTGGAAGCACTGTGAAGCAGGTCACACATCCAGATTACCATGGCCTCCGTGCATTTGCCTGTTTTCTGGTCCCCATCACATCCTGGGAAGCTGCATCCTGTGGTCTGCCCCCAAACACCTAGTGAGGGACACATAGGTGATGCCACCAAAACCTGCCTGTGCATTCCAGCTGCGATCTAGCAGCCAGCATCTGCAAGGCTCCTCAGTTTCAGGGTGGGCTGGGGACCTGGCTATGTGGAAACTGAGGTGCAACAGCTCTTCCATGCTCCCTGCAGCCACCCAGGAGCATCAGAGGCAGCACAAATCACCACTGGGACAGCACAGGCCTGGTGAAGCACACAGGGAGGACATGTAAAAAGGGGGAATAACACACACTTCCAAGTGAGACAAGTATCTGGATGTCTGTCTCCAGGATCCCTAGCCCCTGGGGCAGGCTGGCAGGCTTTAGGAGAGAGGAAAGTCCTCATGGAAGGAGGTGCCATGGGGAGCCAGCAGACAAGGCAGGTGGTGTTTGTGTCCAACCCAGGCTCATAAAAAGAAGGTGACCCCTGAAGCTCCCCCAAAGCTTGCTGAATACTCACATCAATATGAACATGAAGTCCAGACCTGGGGCATGGGGGAAGGGGGGGGGGGGGGGGCAGGACTGACAGCTCCCCCGAAATCCCATTTTTGTTGTTTCCCCTTCAAAACACAGTCTCCTCCCATCCATCCCACGCTCGTCCCTGTGGCCCAGGCACCATCTGTCCCCAGCCTGTCCCACGCCTTGCGGCTCCCAGGGCAGCAAAGGCTGCTTCAAGTCCATCCCAGAACAGTGGCTGAAGGCAGGGCAGAGACCATCTCCTCTAGGCTAAGAAAATAAATAACTCCTCCGTGTGCAGGGGCTGGTGGACACAAAGCCAGGGCAGCAGAACATGGAGTGTCCTTCCAGAGGGCTGGAAATAAATAAGTGAAACTTGGCCTTTGCTCCGGAGCATGTTCCTTTGCAGCGCTGCTGGGGCGGGCGTCATTTAAATAGAGGGAAAGGAAACCCAGTCCTGGCGCTGCACTGGCAAACATGCTCCCTGTGTGCCGGCCTGCCCTCGCCCTCCGCCTCCATCTGCCTGGAGAAGATGCTTGTGGTGGTTGGGAAGGAACCTCCAAGACCTTCCTAGGACAAATCATCCCCGCTGGGCTCGGGAGGGAGTTTTCTCTCCCTGCCACAGAGTGGGGATTGGGGGACCCCTGCACTGGGTGTGTGTTCGGGACCCCTCTGTGCTGTGGCTCCTTGCACACTGCTTATTCTCGAGTTCGGTTTCTTCTCTTCAGGAAGAAGAAGCTGCTCTTCTGGGGGGGGCCCAGCAGCATCGGCACTTGGCTCTTATGTGTGATTTTGACCTAAAAGAGAAGTGAAAACCCCAGCTCATAAGGGGGTCCTGGGCTTTGAGCCTCCCCGGGCACCCCAAGCCCAGGGACCCCACAGAGTGACCTCAGCAAGCTGGGAACACCCAGCACTGAGGCAAGGAACAGCACTGCCCCACAGCTCTGTCATTAAATGTCATCCCACTGCATGGGAGTAACTGCTCCAGAATCACATCCAGGGATAGGCAGAGGATTTCTCCTCTGGACAAGCTGCCTGCCAGATGGTGGGGGACCACACTGCAGCCCCCCCCCCCAGAAGGCATGTGGCTGTGCCCACCCACCCTGCAAGGAACAAGCGTGTCCCTGTCCCCATGGCTCCCATGACTGCTTGCCATGAGTCCATGGCACATTGTGGGCTACCCACCAGCAAGCACAGGAGCCTTCCTCCACAGGCTTTGCCATGCTGTGTGGGGAGCCAAGGCTGCCCATCATGCTGCCAGTCCCTGCCTGTCCGCATCCCATCATGCTGCCAGCCCTGCCTGCCCCATGCCAACACACTGCCAGCACACTGAGGACTCACTGTGCAGGATGGCTGCATCCAGGGCTCCCCATCCACCTGCATGGGCAGCAGCTTGGATGTCCTGCAAGGTGCAAATAGAGGGAACACAGGATGACACAGGCATCAGCTTTTGCCGCCGGTTAGGTGCTCAGCTGGGAAGGGTGACAAATACCTGATGGTGACAGATGAACACTGGGCCAGCCTCTTCCCAGCACTCTTCAGCCCTGTGTAGATCTGCCCCATCTCCATCGCACCCTCCAGCCCCACCACCTCCAGGAGGTGGTCGCTGAGGTCTGCAAGAGAGAGGGATCACAGCCGGTTCCCCTGTGTCTGGGGATCCCCCACCTTCTGCCATCATCTGAAACACTGGGGCCACTGCCTGCCCTGCAGGGCACCGAGGCTGGTGACACGGTGACACTGTGGGGATGTGTCCTGATGTCCCTCATGCCCTGAGACCACTGAGCACAGCATTCACAGCATTGGGCAGTGGCGATGTCCAAAATCTCTGGAGCAAAAATACTCGTGGTCTGAAGTAGTGCCCAGCCCCGCATAGCTGCGAGGTGGCAGCCCAGATACCCCCAGCCCTTTGCTTGTTTGCACTGGTGTATGAAATGGTGGCAGACACCTCTCCCTGGGTGCCCTGGAGCACTGCAGCCCCACAGGAGCAAGGATGCACAGCAGAATCCTTACTGGGAGGGACACCAGCAAAGGTGCTCCACACCAGGGCAAGTAATGGTCTCTCACTCCCCTCAGGGTCCTCTTTCACCCTTGGTGAAACTCCCCCAGGAGAAGCCCTCTGAGTCTCTCCACAGCCTCCTACCTACTGGGGATGTGCCCAGGAGACTGACCCACTGCCTCTCACCACCTCTGGAACAGGCCTTTGCCCTGTCCTGCTCCCTGCTGCCCATGCGCTTGAGCCAATGACAGCCTGGGATGCTCGGAGCCATGCTGCAGGGGGACAGTTTCCCACCCCAGCCCCAGGCTGCAGGAGGTTGGCAGCTGGAAAATACAGGCCCTTTGCCTATTTTGCTATGTGCTTTCTAACCCACTGCTCTGTGCTGGGGAGCCCTGCCAGCACTATGGGCTGCCTGTGCCCCACATGTGCCCCGGGGACAGTCCCAGTGGCTGCAGCAGCGGGTCCAAAGTGCCAGTGGGGCACGGCCTGGGTCCTGTGGTGTTCCTGAACTCCATCCCCCCTCCCCCAGCCAGGCTGGCAGAGCTGTGTTGGAACCTGGAAAGATGCTTACTAAAGCCCTCGGTGCCAGCTCTGCAGCTCTGCTTCCAGTTCCTCCTCTGCAGCAGCGCCTGCCTGCCAGCCACAGAGAGCACTGGGGCTGCCCAGCCTCATGCCTGCAGGTGATGGGTCCCATTTGGAACACCCCTCCCCATCTCCGAGCATGGTCCCCAGAGGGTGGGAGGAGAGATGGATGGCCAGGCATGGGAGCCACGTCCTCTCTGGTCACCATGGAACAGCACGACCAGCCCTGAGAAATGGGATGCAGATGGACAGAGCCATCCCCCTTCTCCAGCTTGGACAGATCATTGTTAAGATCACCCCGTCACCCCAAAAGACATCAAGACAATAGCAACCCCTCCAGTGCTATTGCTCCAGTGCCACGTGCACTGAGCCTCAGCCAGAACTGTCATATACCCCATGCCAACCCCACACATCCCAGTCATCTTGAGGCTCCACTGCTCACCCTGCACACAGAACTTGAGGTCCTTGGCATCAGTGACCACCGTGGCATGCAGCTTCTCAGGGACTTTCTTGCCCAGCCGGCTGTAACCGCGCTGCTTCTTGGTCTCACCCCAGAGGTTGGAGCCGCCGTACATGCTGGGGATGTTGAGGACAGCGATGCCCTCCAGGGATGTGTTACTCAGGTCCAGCATGGTCCCGTCACACTGTGGGCACACGGGCAGTGTCAGGACACAGGGTGCCCAGCACCATGGAGCCCAGCCTCCTCTCCCCACCTGCACACCAAAGGAGCTGGGCTCCCCAAGCATAGTGGATCCCCAGGTCAATCCTGCCCCAGGGTGACTGGGGCTGGAGGTGCAAAGAAATATCTCCCCGTTTTGCTTTTCTAGGGCTGACAACAACCACCTCACTTTCCTTGTGCTGCTTTCCCCTCCATTCAATATGAATTCTACTGCACATCCCAGATGGCAGTTTTGAAAAGCAAATTCCTGTGAGACCACATAAAACCTTGGTTGCACTCAGTGCTACAACCCAAAATAGGAGACAATTCCACCTTGGCCTCGGAGAAACTTCCATACAAGCATCTCCAGCACATGCTTCCTCGCCTCCCCTTGTTCAAACTGATGCCAAAGAATCAGAAAGTTTGGCTGCCCAAAATCTAACTCAAACCAGTTATCTTCAAGTGCAATCTGGAAACTAGAAATGAGCTTGGAAGGAAGTGATAGGGAAGATGTCAGAGATAAAAATGGCAGGTTAGGGAGAGAAAACTGCAAGCCAAGCACACAGAACTGGTACCCTGGGCTTCACATCCTTACAGCAGGTCTGCACAGCTGAGAATTCCCTGTGAAAGGTAAAATATCTGTTGTCTGCGGCTTTCCCACAGGCCTGAAAGCAGCAGCCATGGAAATGAATTTTTTAACTTCAGGTCTTCTCACTCTCATGCTACCCAAGTGATGCTGGATCCCCTTTCTAGGTACCTCTGGAGGAAGCAGCTGCTTTCCCATTCAACTGTGTTTTCTCTGGAGCATTTGTATTCTCCTTTATGCAACTCTGCCTACCGTGCTGCGCTTCAGCAAACAGCAGCACTTTTTATTCCTTGCATTTCGGTGATGCAATGGCATTTCTACCCACTCTTGCTTTGAAAAGAGGAATGCAAATGGGCTGGATGAACCCCTGCTGCTGCTTTGGCTCCAGTTGTTTTCCTCTAGCAAAGAGTGAAGGTCTCGAGCTTATTTTTGATACCCTCTCTACAAGCGCTGAGCGCCGGCCACATGTATGTGGAGCTGGGTGCTCGCACAAGCATCTCTTGTGTGTTCAGATCTGCTCTGCCTCCCCAGTGCTCCAAGATCTTATTTTTAGCTTTCTGTTGAAGGCAAAAGGCAGGAATCTTCTGTTTTGGGAGTGAAAAGCTGTCTCTCCAGAGCTTGGAAAGACTGTGAATCCTTTCGTTCTCAATACATGTTAATGATACGATGATTTGTAGGAAAGACCCTAACTATCTTGATACTGAGCAAGAGAACTTTGATTTCCCATTTTCCCATCCCTAGCTGAGCTGAGCATCGCTCCTAATCGCAGGCATCCTTCTTACCGACCTGGCCATAGTGGGATGAGAGCAGCCCAGGGCTGCCTGAGCTGTGGGATTTCCGGGGATGCTGCAGGGCAGACAGGACCACAGCTACCCACGCATGCAGGGAGTGATCACCCCCTGCCTGTGCCCTCCCCTGTTAGCGTGCCAGCGCACTACAATGGGCTCTTTGAGCAGGGGCAGCTGACGGCACACTAGCAGCGATGCTGGAAGTCCAGATTTGCAGCTGGGGGAAAAGCAGATTCATTTCCAGGAGCTGTTAGGGGAGCGAGTGCCAATTTCCAAAACAAAACTGCCGTTTCTCTGCAAGGCTGACAGTTGCCTGGGAGCTGGGGGGAGGACAGGCTGCCGCTTTCAACTTCAGATCCTGTGGGATTAACGCTTTCCTGCCAGTGCGGAGCAGCTGATGATGCTTTGGTGGGGAGTGTGCGGGCACCTCACAAGCAGTGGAGGGCACCTCACACCCATCTCCAGCAGCGTCAAACCCCACAGACATGGGCTTCATGTGCCGTGGGACACTGGCATGTGGCTGGAGAAGGGGGTGAGACATCCGTGTCCCTCCCCACCAGCTGCCAAGGGTGCAGCTACTCCATAAGAGCTTTGGGAAGGGCTGAAACTCCCCTCAAGCCAAAACTGTAAAAGGGTCATGTATCCAGGGGTAAGAAGAGGTGGAAGTTTACAGCAAACATGGCCCAAACCCTCCAGCACAAGCGGAGAAATGACAGCGCTCGTAGCAACCATGAACCCTCCTCCCCGCTATAATTAAAGGCTGTTTCCATGTCATCCAGAGATTATTCCAGGCACGCTCTCAAATACAGCTGGAAAGGGGGTGGGGGGGAATACAGGGCTATTCTTCTGCCTGCAGCTGGCCAGCTCTGCAGCGTGTGCTGCGCAGTGAAAGTGAGTCCTGCCAGCCACAGCATCCTCCTGCCACCCTAAGGGGTCAAACCTGCCATGGCACCCGCTCCCCAAACCCCCAAAAGCCCTGACCAAGGGACCCTGCTTTAAGCTGAAATAATGAATTTGAGCTGACAGAGGGGAGATTTAGATTAGATATGAGGGAAATACTCTTCACTATCGGGGGGGTGAGGCCCTGGCACAGGTTGCCCAGAGAAGCTGTGGCTGCCCCATCCCTGGCAGAGTTCAAGGCCAGGTTGGACAGGGCTTGGGGCAACCTGGTCTAGTGGAAGGTGTCCCTGCCCATGGCAGGGGGTTGGAACTGGATGAGCTTTAAGGTCCCTTCCAACCCAAACCATTTTATGACTCTATGACCCACAGGTAACATCTCCCAAAAAGCCTTTGTGCCATGGCTGGAGCAAGGAACCTTCGCAAGGAAACCTACCTCCACTTCAACATAGTCGTGGAGCTTCTTGCAGGTGGCTGCAAAGGTCTCTGATGTCCCGAATTCGAAGTACCACAGCTTGTTCTTCATTCTGGGGCACAGACATGCATCAGCATCCCGCTTGGAAGTGGCACTTTGCCCCATACCCTCCCCACCCCCCAGAATGGGCTGCCAGAACCTTTCTGGAGCCGTTGTGATGGGGACATGTGGCATCGATGGGGACACAAGCAATTGTGGGGAGGGACCACCGGTGTCACAGCCCCAGGGAGTTGTGCTGTGGGACAGCGGGTGGCTTGAGCAGACCTGGCTCTGACACCCTGTGGAGGGGAAGGATGGGGGTGCTGAATACTCCCTCAGCATGGGACAGGGGTGCTTTCATCTTAGCAGAGCTGACCATGGGCTGTTGTCTCTCAACAGGGCTGCCAGGGTGGGGTACCCCATGGAGGGGTTTTCCTCCACCTCAAACCCTGCCTCACACCCTCCCAGCACCCTGCCAGGCAGCCCCTGACCACTGCTCATCCCCTGCATCAATCACTGCACCAGGCTTCCAGGGGGAGCTGTAACCTCTGGATTTCAGAGCAGAGACAGATGCTTTGGTCCATTTGGGGTTTTTCTAGCAGGTATGTATGAACATGGGGATGAGGGTCACAGGCCACAGCTCCTGCTGCCATCACACCGTTTCCATACACCCTGAGCACAGCAAGAGCGAGCTGTGACCTGCTGTCTGCCCTGCCCTCACTGCCTGGCCTGCTCATGCCAGTTCTGGAATTCGATGCTAATTATAAAGCACAAATGAGTGTAATTGGGTGCGTGGCCAAGTTTGAGCAACCTGCTACTGCTGCATGGGGCATGAAGGAGCACCCTGGACCCCCACCATGCCTGTCCCCTAAGGCTGGCTGAACACCATGCCATGTCCTCAGGGTTGCTGACAGTCCCATGAGGAGAAGGGCAAAAAGAGCCTGGTGGGAGGCTGGGAAGCTCCAGCACTTCCCCTCTGCATGGTGCATGGCAGCAGTAGGGCATCCCCCCTCACCCAGATTTTGGAGGGGCCCATGGGCAGCCCTTACCTGCTGTTGAATTTCTCAGGGTGCTTTTCTCGCATGATGTGGAAGCGGTGGGCGATGGAGGCATCCTGCAGGGAGAGGGAGCACTGAGAGGTTGGTGGCACAGCAGGGAAATAGAACCCCCCTCCACCCCCCTGTGGGCACAGGCCAGGATAATGTGGGCTCAGCTCTTTGGCCTTGCTGCGGACCCCATGGCACATGCTGAGATGATGGAGGAACCCTCAGCCAGGCTGCTCACAGAGTACTGAATGGATGTGTTAAGCGAGATGTAATTAGCGCACTTGGCTTCCTTCCCTCATCACAGCGGCTCTGTATGACGGTGGATGCTGAGGGAGGAAGGAAGGGCTACCAGCAGGGCAGTGGGCTCTGGGGACACCCCAGGACCCTGCTCCTGGCAGCTCTGCCCCAGCAGCTCTCCTGAAGCTCACTGCATCCTCTACTCTTCAGGGTGGGGTGTAAGCCTGACTTGAAAGCTGTCACCAAATGCCACCTGCAGTGACATCCCCTGGCATAAGGCAGGAACTGATGTGAAACTGGAAGCACCCTGCAGCACTGCTGGGTGGGCAAACCCACCATGGTGGTACCATTCAGGCACATATGGCCAAGGTCAAAAATGCTGCAAGCCCCTGGGAGAAGCAGTACTCTCCATTTTGCCATCCGCCCAAACCCCTGCTGCTCCCAGGACTGAATGGCATCAGGAATCAGACCCTGCTCCTAGGAATTAGCTCAGGGATGGCTCAGAAGAGAGCCAAGGATGAGTCCAGAAGAAGACAGGATGAGCCAGTGTGGGGGCCGGCATCCCTAGAGTGTTCCCACTGAGCTGGGCCATTCCAGCAAATTCATAGAATCACAGAACAGTTTGGGTCGGAAGGGACCTCAAAGCTCATCCAGTTCCAACCCCGTGCCACAGGCAGGGACATCTTCCACTACAGCAGGTTGCTCCAAGCCCGTCCAGCCTGGTCTTGAACACTGCCAGGGATGGGGCAGCCACAACTTGGCCAGTGGGAAATGCCCTTGGGAAGCCACTGATCTGGCTGGGTTCAAAGCTGTGGCTGTGCTGGGGACCCAAGTGACAGCTCCTACGCTCCACTAACCTCCCAGGTTCTTCCCTCTGCTTTGCCGTGGTCTGGGGGCTCCAGTGTGCATCACATTGTCTGGGCACCAGTGACTAGCCCTATGCTGCCTCAAGGCCCAGCCCTACCCCGTGGTACTCACCACCCCAATGGAGAAGTAGTTGTTGATGATGGTGGATGGGACAGGGTCTCCGTTGGCCTCCTTGTCACTGGGAATGACGTCTATCTGCCAGCGGTCCAGCATCACCTCTGTGCTGTGCTCAATGTCTTTCAGGACCTTCATCAGGTTGCCTCCTTCATAGCCTGTAAAGGAAAGAAGATGGGCCTTGAGGAGGATGAAGAAGGATGAAGGGGGGTGCAGCCATGTCACGTGGAGGTATTTGGGTGCTAAACACCCAGGGGAGCTGGCAGCTGGTGCTGTAACAGCAGCGAGATGCCTGGGTCTTCCTTGCAGCAGTGGCAGAGACTTCAGCTGATGGCACAGCATTCCCAATGCAGGTATAGAAAGCAGCAGCAGCTTTTTTAGGAAGCACCATCAGGAGGCATCAGGGCTGAGATGCAGCCCTGAGCTTTGTCCCAGGAGCCTCCCCAGCCCCCAGACAGCACCCACCCAGCCACACCACAGTGCCCACAGCCTGGCCACCCCCTGTGCGATGCTTGCCCAGCCTCACCTCCTCCCCAGCGCAGGCACCGGGCCAGGTCATTGCCCGTTCCTAGGGGCAGGATGGCCACTGGTGGGTGCTTTGCCAAGTTTGCCTTGTCTGCAAGTCAAGAGGAAAGAGAGGTTTGGGGTTGAAAGGGCTCATTCCCTGCTCTTCTCCATGTCCCTCCTTGGAGGGCAACACAGGGGTAATGCTGTTGGCAGGATCCCCATCCCCTGTCGCGCAGAGAATATCAGGAACCTGCAGCAGATCACCAAGAACATGGGTGGACGAAGCTCTGTGGGAGCACAGCTGCCCCCCATTCACCTATGCAGTCCAGGATCCAGCCGACCGTGCCATCTCCTCCGCAGGCCAGGACGCGGAAATCTGGAGTGTCCCGAAAGAAGCTCAGCCTGGAGAGAGCCAGAAGAGACAAGGGGTGATGTAGGGGAGCAGGGGCCAGTGGGAGGGGGCAGAGGACTCAATGCAGCATCTCTGTACCCTGGCGCAGGCCCGCCACGGTCCAGGTTGTACACTTGGCGCGGGTTGAGCAAATAGTGGAACTTCCGAAGGACCCTAGGAAAAGGAGAGGTGTGAGGGATGCTGCAGAGGTGAGCTGCCCTCTGTGACAGATGCCAGGGCAGCCTTAGGGACTGGCAGCCCCTGATCCTAAGGGAATACTGTCCCTGTGCAGGACTCCACCTACCTTTCCCCTTGCCTTCCTCCGCTCTTGGGGTTCACAAGCACCAGGAGAGGATGTGTCCCTGGCCGTGGGCTGATCTGGAGGGCAGAAAGTGCTGCTGCAGGGCTCGGTATGCACCCACAGTAGAGCTCACGGTCCCCGCCGTGGGAACCTACCTGCAGTCCTTGCCCATCCACTGTGCTGGGGTTGAACTTGAAGCCCTGGCTGTCCTCGGGGTTGGTGCTGGCAGGGGAGTCGCTCTCGGATCTCCGGCAGTGGGACTGCCTGTCCTTTGGGGAACAGAGGCGCGGATGCGCACGCCACCCCAGGAAGGCAGCGCCAGCAGCTGGGGAAGGCAGGTTGGCCACAGTAATGCCCTGCCAGGTCCCTGCCACCCAGCAGCAAGGAGGGGGCACTTACCAGGACCACAGGGCAAATGTAGGAAGGCAGCAAGATGTGGTCTCGCAGCGGACCCCCATCACATTCCGGCTTCACATGGGAGGCACATTTGTTGTGGAGCTGGAGGGGATGGGAGGAAGGGAGGTTGGGCCAGGGACACACGGCCATCTCCTATCTTTGAACCTCTCCTCCCCATGGCCAGCTGCGCAGGGAGCACTGCAGGGTGCACCCCAGCTCCAGTGCACCCACATACTCACAGTAACTTGGCACCAGACGCAGTGCAGGCCAGTGATACCCTGGTAGCACTTGATGCTCTTGTGGCATCTGTCACACTTGACAGGGGAATTGCCCTCGATCCATGTGTGCTGCATCACCTGCAAGGTACAGGGGCACTGCAGGCACAGCACCCACTGACCTTCAGCCATCGCCTCTCCGCTGCTGCTGTGGTTCTGGAGGGTGCTGTGCTGTGCAGGGATGCTGACTGATCCAAAACAACCCCTCACATGGCCACCTTCCCTCCCTGCTGCTCCATGCAGCACATCAGGGACACCCATCTCCACCTGAAGCCATGCCAAACCTTGGGGCTGGTGTCCTGCAGATCCCTGGGGGCTGCGGATGGGATCTACCCTCCCAGGCTCTGGATGCTGGGAATGCCTATGAGCTGCTGCCCAGGACCCAGGAGGCAAATCCCATGGGAAAAGGGCACAGGGGATGTGGGCAGTAGACACAGGGGCCTGCTGCTGCCAGTGGTGCTGCCTCTGGGAGAGTTCCAAGGGAGACCCACCAGCTCAGAAGTGCACCGGCCACCTACTCACGCTTGTGTTTCTCTTGGACTTCACGTAGGTGCTGATGCAGGAGGCGATATCTTTGGACACACACCTCTCGTGGACCGTGTACTTGCAGACTGGCGGGAGAGAAGAAGGTGGTGAGCATCACACCCCAGCATCCCCTCCCCACTTGCCCTGCAGCACCTGCAGGGCTCAGCACTGATGGATACTAGTTTCGCCCTCCCTGTGGCACTGGAATGGGTTGGGAGCTGCCAGCCTGGGGTGCAACAGCCTGGCGAGGGTCTGTAACTCACAGGAACAGCAGAGGCCCTGCTTGCGGACCCCCAGCAGCATGGTGTGGCAGAAGTTGCAGTAGGCAGGTTTCTTGAAGTGCTTCAGCCTCCAGGCATGCTGCCCATCGTCCTTCGCGTTCTGCAGGGCAGGAAGCAGAGGGTGAGGGGGGGTCACTGCCCTGTTCTGGGGGTCCCCATTCACTCAATCTGCCACTTCCATCAGCTTTTTGTTCTGGAAAAGCTCCCAGTGTGTTTGCAGTTCACACCCAGCTGGACCACGGGCTCTCCCTGCTCCCTGGTGGTCCCATCCCATCCCTGCTGCTGTATCTCCCTGCTCCCTGGGCATGTCCAGCTCCTGGCACTCCTGGCACAGAGCTCCAGCTCTGCACAGCCCCTCAGCACAGCCTGGCTCCAGGGATTCTCTGCTGGTGGCCAACAGGAAGGTAACTCCACATCTGGGGACAGACCCTGCCGCAACAGGGTGACCAAACCAAGCCTCTTACATCTGACTCCAGGCTTGAGTGCTTTGCAGAAGCCACTTAAAATTCCCCATTTTCTTGAATGTTGCTACTAGAAAACCTGCCCTCCTGACTCTGTAGGAAGTAACTGCCAGAAGGAACACCATGGAGCAAAAACATGTATTTTCCCTGCAAATGGTTACCAGTAGCAAACTATGGCTAGGGATGCACCTTGATGAAATTAACTCCAAAAGGGTGGAAAAGTAACACAGCAAAATAAGCAGGGGTCCCAAACCACCCCTCCTGTTCTTTGAAGCTCGCACCAGGAGAGGAGCTGTCATTTTACATGCTCATCTTATTCTTTGATCAAATATTCATCAAACAGGAGTACGCTGTATTGACGGCAGGGAGCAAACCCAGCCTGCTGGGGCACAGCAGCTGGCAACGACTGCAGCTAGCTCAAAACTGAGCTTGTGAAGATCTGGGGAGCCAAGGCTGCTCAGCAAATACAGGGTGAGGGTGCCTGCTGGGACCGGGGAGCAAGGGGCTGTGTGGTGCCAGACTGTTGGTGGCGCATAGTCTGTTGGTGCAGGTATGGTCCCTGCATGCCCTCCATTGCCACCCTCCTCTCAAGCCCCTGGCTTTCCTTCTGGAGTGGGCAGCACTGGATGTGGCCAAAGCAGGTCGCTATGTGGGCACTCACTGTCTCCATCCCTAGAAGGACCAGCAAGGGGATGGTGGTCATGCCTCCCCGGATCCACTCCTCCAGCGTCACGGTCCCGTCATGGTCGTAGTCAATCTCCTCCATCATTGTCTTCAAGATCTGGGGGAGGGAGGAGATGCAGTGTCACGGTGATGCTGCCTGTGAGCCCTGGCTGCTGCCTCCCACCAAGAGCTCCTGCAGGATCCCCAGCCCAGGCACTCACAGGCTTCAGCTCAGTGGAGTCCCACTCCAGGTACTCAGCCACATGGACCATTTGGTTGATGATACGATCCAGCTCCTGAGCACAGAAAGACATCGGTGCTTGGCACTTAGGGATGGCTTTGGGCACAAGCAGCCTCATGCTCCCAGGTCTACGTCCTGATACACCCAAGTCCACCCCAGACTCCCACCCACACAGGGGGTCAGCAATACCCCACTTCTTAGTGGGTCTGGGAGCGGCTTTCTCCCCTGAAACCTGCCATAGGATCTGCAGTAGGTTTTCCCCTCAGAAAAGCTGCTCTGATATAGCAGATTTTTATTTGCAACAGGTTTCAAGGGCAATACCCAAAAGACAAAAAGGAAACTCCCAGGGAGGGGGTTGTGCACAGTTTTTCTCTTCTGAAAGCCTGTGACCTGATGTAGAGCTGCAGTTACTGGTGGGTGGATTCCTTCTACCTGCTGCAGAGCTGGCATGCATCCCCCAGCCCCACGGTCCAGCCCCACAGCAAAGGCTGCTTCCTTCCTCCTCCCTTCCCATACCCCTGTCTAGCTTGGAGCACCACACCAGGGCAGCAGGCATGCTGACAGCAGGCCCTGCATGTCTTCAGCCCCCCCAAGTAGGCTTCTCCTCTCCCAAGGGAACGCTTACCGAGCTGTCCAGGAGGCCGTTTCCATCAGTATCATAGAGGCGAAACATAACTGGAGGGGAAAAAAGAAGCCGGCTGCCAGTTACACCCCAGTCCTGGGGCACCCCAGGCAGCCAGTGCTCAGTGCCAGGGCTGCTGGGACTCTGGGAAGGGATGGGAACTGAGCCCATACTGGGCTGTGGGACATTGGAGCAAAGCCATACACTCCCCAGCTCTATGTGTGTCAGACACGGGTGCCAGCAGGAGGGAGCAGAGAGGTGAAGCTGAGCAGTTTTCTCAAGCGGTTTTAACATTTCATCATTAAAAAGTGAGTAGGAAAATCCATTCCCACAGCCCTCCTTAGGTGAGCCCCCAGCAGATGCCTCCAGTGATGTGTGACCAGCATCCCATGGCTCCAGGGTCTCACTTACACTCCAGCTTGTCCTCAGCCCGCCCCCTCTCCAGCAGGGACAGGTAGCAGACGATGTCCTTCAGGTGGACCACTTGTGCCAGGGGTGCAGGGGGATGTGGGGGGGCAGCTTTCAGGGAGCTGTGGCTCTTCCGCAGGCTGAAGGGTAACCTCTTCTCCACGCCTCTCATGCCTGTGGGCAGGGAGCAGGGGGATGAAGGCCAGGCACACGGCTGGCCATTAGTGCCAGGAGCTGCTCCCAGCTGGGACATGGGGCTGGCAGCACTCTGGGGCAGGGAGCCATTTATTGTGGTGCTGCGGCCCATCGCAGGAGCAGGGCTGAACACTGCCAAGTTGGTCCCTGGCTGCAGACTCTCACATCTCTAGCACTGTGGGTATGGGCAGTGAGAAGCCATGGGGACATGCTCTGTTGGGGCAGGAGCTGGGCTGGAGGCAGCCGTGACTCACAGCTCCAATCCCCCCTAGCTAGGAGCCAGGCAATTGACTGGGAGGGCTCTACCAGATGGGATCAGTGGCTTAAGTTTGCAAAGCAAAGGTGTCCAGATGCCAGGAGCCCACCTATTTTTGAAGGTCACTACCATCACGCTGGGGACCTGACCAGCTGCACCACCGGGGCTAGGTGTGGGGTTCTGCAGCTTGGGAAACCAGGAAGGGCTTGTCCCCATGGAGCCCCAGCCAAGCTCACCTGGTGACTGAGGGCTGAGCAGGGACCCGGAGGAGATCTTTGAGGAGCCAGAGGAGTTGTGAGCAGAAGGGGTGCCAGTGGTGGACTTCTGGGAAGATGACCTGGACCAGCTGGGGGAGGCACTGGGGATCGATGCCGGGGTGAGGGATGACGGCTGCGGCTCAGCTGTGTTGCTTTGGCAGCTCTTTGGCTCTGGAGTGTGTCGTCCTAGGGCACTTAGAAGCGATTTCCCATTGATCCCTGCAAAGCAGACGGACCATAAAATGGTTTGAGTTGGAAAGGACCTTAAAGCTCATCCAGTTCCAACCCCCTGCCATGGGAAGGAACACCTTCCACTAGACCAGGCTGCTCCAAGCCCTGTCCAACCTGGCCTTGAACACTGCCAGGGATGGGGCAGCCACAAGGCTGGTCACACATTTCAGGTTTTTGCTATCCCAGAGCACACTGGCATCCTGGACCCAGGGCTCTCTAAGGGGCACCACAGCCCCCCCAGGCCTCACCCTCCTGCCTGGCCCAGCAGTCTCCAGCAGCGCTGCCACCCATGGGGACTGGTCACCTGAGTGCTTGGGACCAGGCGAGCAGGATGAGACCCCTGCCACCTGCCAGAGCTGCTCTCGAGCCCCAACACTGCAGGCAAGCACCCGGGGAGGGTTCTCCCTTTTCTTTTGCAGCTTACAGTACTTTCAGCAGAGGTCTTCATGCACTGCAAATCCACCTGGGCAAGGGCAGGGGGAAGTTGGGTGCCTGGCACAGGTCTCCTGCTCTGGGTGCCTGCCCACACCAGTACCTGTGAGAGGTGCACAGGCCACCTTGCTCTGATGGAAATGCTGGTGTCAAGTGACTTACAGGTCTGGAAGGGAGGAATCAATGCAATGGTGTCCTGTGGATTTCCACTCCAGGCAAAGCTTTTGCTGGCTTGGAGCAGTGGAGGGCCCCTGGGAGCCCATCCATGGGATGGGACAGAGTGTGCTGGCCTCGATGCCACCCACTTGCAGGTGTCACCCCACTACCTCTGTCCCTGTGGGGCAGCATGGGAGAGAGGCCAAACTGCCATGGCATACCCAGCTGGGTGACAGCGGTTGGCTTACCAAGGGTGTTGTGCTGCGAGACGCCAGGGCTCTGGCGCTGGGTCTCAGGGGAGGCTTGACATATCTTACGCTTGAAGGAGGTGAAGAGGTGTTGGCAAAGCTCTTCAGGCACGTCTGCCTCCAGGTAGGTCTTCATGAAGAGGTGAAAGCCCTCATAGTCAATGGGCTGGGGAGCAGACACAGAAGAATGATGGAGGTGCCGCAGACATGCCATGGGGATGCAGATGCACCAGTGGAGGGTGGTATCCTAGACCCCCATCACTGGGCACATCAGCTGCAGAACCCACTCGAAAACCAGCTTCCAACATCCCAGTGGTGAGATATAAACTAAAGAGACTCGGAGGCAGCAGGGCCAAACATCCCCAGTGCCAGCTGGCTGCAGGGGGCTCTGAAAGCCTCCTGCTCCCCCACGGCAGGGCACGGAGCAGGGGGACTCTCCAACCCACCCCCAGCCCTGGGGACTATTGTCCTCCCCAGGTCTCCTTGCCTCCTCCTTCCCTGCTGGGCATCCTCATCACATCAGAACATTGCCTTCCTGATGGCTTTTGTGGCCCCAGCTACAGCAAGGGTCCTGTGGTGCCCTTCAATAGCGGGGTAGTTTTGCTGCCCCTCCTCGACATATTCAGCCCACTGATTTTTCTCATTTTGCCTCATTTCAGTGATTATGGCCCCTGTGAAAGGCTCTGTCCTGCTGGCACATTAATAGGTCTCTCTGAAAGCACCACTTGGAAAAAATAACCCCAGCCTTCCCCAGGCAAGAGCAAGAACACATCGGGCCTTCCCTCGTCCCATGCTGGCAACAGCAAAATCATTTGCTTTTGGGGGAAGAGAGACAGAAAATCCCTCCTGGCTTCTGCCTGGCAAGGAGATGCCCCAAAATGCACCTCATGCATCTCTCTGCAGTGCCTGCAGACAGCACTGGACACCAGCACGGCCAGGGGCTCCTGGCAGCAGTGATGGGATGAGGTGGGATGGCCGCACGGCAAGCCTGCCCCTGGGATGGGTGGGGAGGGGGGAATATGTGGCCAGGGGCTGGGAAAGATGCTCCCCATCTGTGAAAGCATCTTTCCCAGTGCTAGGAGCATGGCCATAGGGAGAGGTGGGAGGTGGACAGAGAGAATGGCTGCTTTTAGCTGAGGGAGCTGCGCTAGGGAAGCTGGCAGGGTGCTGGGGGCAGGCTGGAGGGGACAGGGCCATACCTGTTCAGGGTTGTACTTCGAGAGGACGCCATCCCCGTGGAATTCCTCCAGGACATCCTTGAGCTTCTTGGTGGAGTCTGTGGAGACAAAGGCATCACACAGGTGAGATCCCTTTGCCATTAGAGAATCTCCCTGGAGAAGAGAATGCTCCACAGAGACCTTAGAGCAGCTTCCAGTGCCTAAAGGGGCCAACAAGAAATCTGGAGAGGGGCTTTTTACAAGGGCCTGTAGTGACAGGACAAGGGGGAATGGCTTTGGGCTGACAGAGGGGAGATTTAGGTTAGATATTAGGAAGAAATTCTTTCCTGTGAGGTTGGTGAGGTGCTGGCACAGGTTGCCCAGAGAAGCTGTGGCTGCCCCATCCCTGGCAGTGTTCAAGGCCAGGTTGGACGGGGCTTGGAGCAACCTGGTCTAGTGGAAGGTGTCCCTGCCCATGGCAGGGGGTTGGAACTGGATGAGTTTCTAAAGTCCCTGTGAGGACTCACATCCCTCTGTCACTTCCAGACCACCCGCCTGGGGAGGAGGCAGCTGCCCGCACTGCAGCCTTGCTCACCACACTGTGATTAACAGAACGACAACACTGAACATGAGCTCAGCGTTACAGATGGTGTTTTATGGTCTGTGACTCAAGAAAGGCAGGATGAGATGCAGACAGCGACGCTATGCACACACCTCTGCCTGCAGCCCTGTGTTCCTGTCTGGGATGGCAGGTGGGCAGGCAGGGGGCTGGGAGCTGCTTGCACTGGCTTGTTTGAGTTGGAAGCCATGCCTTCCCATGCTGTCAGCCTCACCCCAGCGATGTGCAGCAGCCCTGAGGACAGCTCTGAGGATGTCATGGGGACGGAACCCTTTGCCTCCAAGTCCTTTCCTGCAGAAGCCTGCTCACCCCAGGGACGTGCTGCCTCTGCAAAGCAGAGATTTTACACCTCCTCTCCCTTTGTGCCATGGTCCTGACTGAGCTTTCCTGCCTGTCCTGTCCTCCTCTCAGGCTACATCACTTTGCCACTGCCTGCTGCAACAAGGACACTCACATGCTGGCTCTCTGGTAGGCAGGACCTCAAGGACCCAGTTTCAGGTGCATAGGCTTTGCCTGGGCTCCCTCTGCAGCCTCTTGCAGCCCCAGGACCCCACAGCACCACCGCCAACCTGCTCTCCTTGGCAGGAGCTGCAGGAGAAAGGCTGCTCTGCAAAAGCGCTAAGTAAAATTGCCGCAGAGGATTGGCAACCTGAGGCGAGCTGTGGAGCAGCTCCATGTGTTTGGGAAAAGCCAGTCTGCTTTCATTGCTGGCATTTTGCTTCACGGATGAACGTGGGAGCTGGCCGCCTTCGGAGGGACCGAGCCATGCTCACGTGTGCGTCCGCCAAAGCAGGGGGGCTGGTGCTTAGCTGAATTCTCCAGGGAGTGCAGGCACAGGGACTCTCCTGCTGTGTCCCACCAGCTGGAATCTTCCCAGCCTCCCCATCCCAAATCTAAAGAGTTATCTGTTTCTCCAGGAGGACACCAAGGATGTGGAGGACAAGCCTGGCACAGATCAACAGGTCTTTAGAGCTCCTCATCCCTGTCCTGGGGCGATGTGCAGGGTACTCACAGTCCGTGTACTGCTGGAGCTGTGTGAACTCGGCAGGGCTGAGGGAGATCCACCCGCCATCGCTCATCTTCAGGCAGCAGGGCCCACTTTGGGGTGGCCACAAGCTGCTGTATTTGCAGGGCTGGGCTGGCTCAGTCACATTGGCACGGTGAGGGGTGTGGGGGGCTCTTGGCCAGCTGGCATCATCCCACTGAGCCTATGGGCAGCAAATCCTGGATCAGCACCTTCCTCCCTAGAGCAGGATAGAAAGAGAGGAAGAGTTCAGCAGTGCCCGGCTGCAGGAGGGGTGGCACCATGCAACCAGCAACAGCCACAGTTCCCGGCGGCTGGAGGATGTGCCTCAATAGAGCCAAGGCAAACGCCACTGTGGGGATAGGAGTTTGTTGCCTTATGTACCCCTGGTGTTTTCCAAGGGAACCCAGCGTGACAGGAGCAGAAGGAAGGACACAACTAATTAGAGAAGATGCAGTGCACGGAGGCAGGGGGGCTGAACGAACGGAAGCTCCCAGCTTGTGCCTCTATCTCCGAAGCTGGTGGTGACCTTTAACTGGATCCTCCATGGAGAACCATCCTAAATTAAAATCTATGTTCAAAACTGGGTGAGAGGGAAAAACCTGCATTGTAGAGGAATCATCCCTACAAGTGGCCCTCTCCAGCCCATCCATGTTCAGGCTTGAAGAGTTATTAGCTTCTTCACTTAACCAAATCAGACATAGGGGAAAAGACAGCATCCCGAGGAGGTGCCTCTCTTCAAGGAGCAGATGAGAGCAAATTGATCTTGATTTTACAGCCACTTCCCTGCTAAATGTTGGCTCCCGGTTTTTACCAGACTGAGCTGATGAGAAAGAGGAGCAAGGGCGAGCAGGGAAAGGCCACACAACTTGGGATGATGCTTGGAGAGCACCCGCACCCCCAGCGGCCGGCTGGGCTGCTCGTGGTGCTGTCCATTTGCAGGAAAAGGCATTTGGCAAAGGTGAGCAAGTCATTTTGGGGAGCTGCTGGGTCCCACGTGCCACACCAAACCCACCCAGTGTCCCTAGGGATATTTGCATATGCGGTACACCAGGGACAGACACTTACCCCTAATCCCAGGATTTGCCCCCAGGTGTCTCTGGGACAGACCTCCTTCACTTCAGCCACAAAGGGCAGCCCCAGGGCTGGCAAGGAAATGTGACCACCTTCATAAGGCTTTTGTGACACGATCAGGGGAGATGGAGACTGGCTGAGAGAGCTGGGCTTGTTCAGCCTGGAGAAGGGAAGGCTCCAGGGAGAGCTTAGAGCAGCTTCCAGTGCCTAAAGGGGCCAACAAGAAATCTGGAGAGGGACTTTTTACAAGGCCCTGCAGTGACTGGACAAGGGGGAATGGCTTTGGGCTGACAGAGGGGAGATTTAGATTTGACATTAGGAAGTTCTTCCCTGTGAGGGTGGTGAGGCATTGGCACAGGTTGCCCAGAGAAGCTGTGGCTGCCCCATCCCTGGCAGTGTTCAAGGCCAGGTTGGACGGGGCTTGGAGCAACCTGGTCTAGTGGAAGGGGGTTGGAACTGGATGAGCTTCAAGATTGCTTCCAACCCAAATCTTTCTGTGATTCTATGACCCCTGAGATGCTTCTGCTGCTCCTGCCCAACACTACAGGGGCACAGCTACCTCAGGGCTGAGGGGGATGATGGTCTCCTCATGCTGCTCTGCCCTTGGGAACTCATGTGGGGACAATGCACAGCCCTGAGGGAAATGCCACCTCTCCACCCTTGCCAGGCCCTGCTGGCCATGAGGCACCTTTCCTCCAGCCTGTGGCCATCCCAGCTCATCCCAGCAGCTCCTTGTCCCCATGCCACCCATCAGGGAAAGGCTGGACACAGGTATTAAAACAGCTGTGTAGCTGGGCCAGTAAAAACCACCCAACGTCTTCCCATACTGGCACAGGTTTTCTAGGGATCTTCATCCTGGGGAAAGGACAAGCAGGAGTACAGTGTTTCCACCTTTTCAGGATGAAGGGCTTGTCCCAGGGTATCTCCGAGGCTGGTCCAGCAGAACTCAGTCTGTAAGTAACCTTCCATGAGCATACACTTTCTGTTTCCTGACAAGTGAGCTGTTTTGTTAGACCAGAACCTATTCTTTATCCTAAATTTATACAAGGAGGGGCTGAGAGAACAGAGCCAGAGCAGCCCGCACAAGAAAATGCAAGGGGGGGGGGGGGGAACTCTTGGTTGGTTCCAGCTGCCCAAAGGAGTCCCAGTGCACCAAGCTTCCTGCAATGGACAGCAGTGAACATACCCCTTGCTTGGTTTAGTGTAGGGTTATGGGGTAGCATGAAGCAACAGAAGGAAAGTAAAGTGGAGCTAATTGTGCCATCCCAAGGGGCTTTCCCCCAGCAATTGCTGGAATAACAAATGCCACTTCTGGCGCATCAGCTTTGGATTTCAGGAAGGGCAGGGAAAACCTCCTTAGGAATCCAGCTGCTCGTTCAGTCGCCTTCTGAATTGTCAGCAGCAAATTATGTTCTATTAAATCAAATTTGCCTCTCTCTAAAAATAGCTCCCTGCTAGCGTTAAGAACAGTGGACTACCCTGCCTGAAAGCACCTCCTGGGACATGGCCCCTCTCCCCTTCTCGCTCCATGCCCACCAGCTGTGCATGTGGGCTCTGCCATTCTGCTGGCACTGGCAGCACGGCGTGACTCAGGATGGCTGAAGTGGCCGGGGGAGGATGGAAAGGGGGGAGCTGGGAGGGCTCCGAGCACCTCCCAAGTCCTCCCTGGGGATTAGCTCGTACCAGAGCCCTCAGGAAGCCCCTTCATGCATGGAGCATCCTGCCCGCCCCGGGGCTGGTGTGGGAGCTGAGGGATGATGGAGGAGGCACTCTGGGGAGCATCACCGGATGCAGGCAGAGGTGCAGCTCGATGGGAGCCAGGGCCCGGCCACGTAGGACCTGAAACATTCACATCAACAAGGGTGATGCCAGGTTGAAGCTGGGGATGGGCCAGTCCCCACTGGCCAGTGGGGCCCAGGCAGTTGGTGGCCAGGCCATGCCTTGGAGAGGAGGCATGTCTTAATATCCATGAGAAAGGGCTGCCTGCAGGCACCCCCAGTGTCCAGGGCTGGGGGGCTGCTGGGGACAATGATGGGCAGGTAGAGGACCTGCTTTTCCAGCCAGCTGTCACTTTCCACAAGCCTCCCCAGCCATCCCTGGCCACTTGGTGCTGCTAAGGACAGAGGATCCAGCTCCTGGGCTGCTGCCCAGCACACAGCGCAGTGCCATGGGGCTCGCCACAGATTTGGGAGGGTTTGTGCTGCTGGCATCCGCCTGCCCTCTCCAGGACTGGAGCTACTGAAGACCTCATTTTACCCAGTCTGGGGCAGACATACTGCGGGCAGTGGGTAGGACAGCAGCCTCCATGTGCTGGCAGAAAAGCAGCCACTCTTGCAGAGCCTCCTTTGGCCGGCTAAGCAGGAGTGTGCTGATGGCCACGGGAGATTTCTGCTTCAGATGCCCTTTGGGAAGGAAAAAACACCAGCTCCTCAAGCTTCAGAAGACTGTGCGAGGAGGGCGAGCTCCTGCTGTGCCTATGCTGCACACTGGCACGTGTGGAGGCTGTAGCTCTCCAGCAGCCGTGAGCACAGCACAGCCCGAAGCCAGGCTCTTCCCTGCATCCCTCACTGGGCCTGCTGAAAGAGTCACTCACAACAGTTTCTCCTGGGGCACAAGCCCTGTGGGTCCCTGCATGAATGGCATTTTCCAGCCCGCCACATCATTTGGGAAGATCAGCCTATTTTTGCATTGGACTGGGGAGAGGCCCCTGAGCTGGTGGGTGGAGTGTAAATCCCTCCTGTCCCACTGCAGCAAACAAACCCCTACCAAGTCACGCTCAAACTATTTTCTGCAATGACAGGGGAACGCACTTCTCTGCATTTTGCCAGCCTGAGAGGACACTTGGGATCTGCTTTTTCCATCTTCCTGCCTGTTGCTCTCTACACATTCCCTTTGCCCACCCATCCATGCAGAGCCACATGCACACATCTGCCAGGAGCACCTTGCTGGGCCTCTGTGCCCACTCCTGGCTGCAGGGCATTGCTCCCTGGCAGCTTTCAAGCAAGCAAGCAGCATTTTGCTCAGAGATGCTCCCCTCTCCCTGATCGCTGTGTAAAGGACAAGCAAAGCAGAGACGTCTGCCACCATGACCAGCTCTTGCATGGCGAGTGCTTTCTCCCACACAGCTGGGCAGTGGCACGGGAGGAGGAGGGTGGCCTGAGGTCAGGCTGCAGGCATACCAACTCCCAGCTGGGACAGCAGAGACCCAGCACAGCCAGTCCCTCTCCATCAGCCTGCCAGGGCCAGGACAGCTCAGCTCTCACCCCAGGGACACCAACAACTTCCCGACTTACTCCTGTTGCCTTTTTAGAGAATAACTCTGCTGGCTGCATCCAGAGCAGGCTGGATCCAAGCTAGGATGCCTTTAGAGTGAGACCTGTCCCCTCACCGCCTCCCGGGCATGTCCCAGTTAGACTGGAGCTTGTCTTTCGGAAAAGCCCCTTCCCACAGGAAGGCAGGGCTGGCAGGGAGGCAGTGGCTGGCCCCCACAGCCTCGGGGCTGAGGTATCCTCCTGGCTCCATCACTTCACACCTACAAACCCAGGGCTTCCCGCTGCTGCTGCAGGGAAGCTCTGCCTCTGTCCCTGCAGGAATCGTGCGGCAGCAAGTCCCACAGGTTAACTGCACCTTGCATGGGATAATGCCACTTTCCAGGAGCTTTGAAATACATTCTTATGCCCTTTCATACCCTGAAACAACCTGAAGAACAGTTGAAGACAGCCTCTTACTGCAGGCTGGGCATGCCGAACACCTCCTCAATCCTCCTGCCCTCCAAAGCAAATGGCCCCAGCAATTTTTACTTAATGAGGAAGACACTAATGAGCTTCCCTGGCCTGGCAATGTGGGGGAACAGCTGACTCCGGCTGTTTCTCTGCCAGTCAAAAGGGTGTGCTGTTTTATAGCAAAGCTGAGAACCAACACATGCTGAGACACCAGTGAAGACCACATAGCCTCCCCGGGCTCTTCAGAGGCTTGGTGGAAGCCATCTTCTCCACCTTGGGGTGGACAAAAGGATGCTGCCCCGTCCTTCCCGACCCTTTAAGCAGCTTTTCCCACGGGCTCCCCGCCCCAGCGCTGCCCCACTGCTTGAACGCCTGTCCCCTCTCCCCAGACCGCTTCAAACTCGACCCAAAGGCCTCGGGACGGGACCGGGATAGGCTCCGAGGGCACTGTGCGGGGCGGCAGCGAGCGCCGGGCTGCCCAAGAGACGGTCCCGAGCGGGGTTTTCCCCTTGGAAGGGGATGAGCCCGCCGCGGGTCCCCGTTATGTCATGTGTCCCCACCACCACCCCATTGCCGCACCTCGCGTCCCCTCGCCGCTGTCCCCTTACTTGGCGGCGGCAGCGCGGTGTCATCGGCGGCCGGACCAGCCAGGTCTCTCCGGAGAAGGCGGCTCCGCGTCTGCCGCTTACCGGGCTCAGCGAGCAGCCCGGCAGCTCCCCGCTCCTCGGCGAGGCGGAGCCGGGAAGGGTGATGCGGAGGGATGCGAGCGGGCCCAGCCCGCTCCGCTCCGCCCGGTCCGCCGGCACCGGCGGGCGGCCGGCAGGAGGAGGAAGAGGAGGAGGAGTTGGAGGGAAGAGCCCGGCGGCCCCGACCGCGCCCTCGCCCCTCCCCGGGCCCGGGGCAGCGCCGGGAAGTGCCGTGGCGGGGAGCAGCCGCCGTGCGGGGAGGACAGGGAACCGCGTTTCCATCATAAACCTCATTTACTGTGAATCCCCGCCTCCCCAGAGCGGCAGGGCTTTCCCTGTCTCCCACCGGTCCGGCACCGTGCCCCGCAGCCCCGCCGCTATCCCTGTCCCCGTCACTATCCTTGTCCCCATCCTCATCCCTCTCTCTTCCCTGGGGCTTTTTACCCCTCTGTCTCTCTTGCTTTGGAGTGGTTTCACCCGTGGCAAAGGTTGCTGTATCCTAAGGAACAGAACAAACCACCGAAAACAAACAAAAAATGCCAAAACAGACAAAAAAGCCTCTTTATTTTCTTTCCATGACGCGTACGCCTGCCTGCTCGGGGTGACACTATTTCAGGCATGTCTATTATTTATGTTTCGCTATATTTATATTAATTAGAGACACCATCATGTACGTAGATCTGCAACTTCAAAAAAAGCAGGAGAAGGGGACTGACAGCCGAGACTGAACTTTCCTGAGAGAACAAGCAGAGAGAAGCAGAATGCACGGCTATAGCTGTACTCTGTGCTAGTGCTGTATGATGTTCCTGCTCTGCTCCTGGGATCTTTTTGGTCCCAGCCCCACTTTCCTTCCTTCCCTCCTGGCTGGGATGCCAGAGGGATGTGTCAGGGCTCCTGGCTGCGATGCTGAGGACAATAATGTCCCCAGAGTCATGACAGTTTTAGGGGAGATGGTGGCACATCATATGCTCCAGGCAAGAGAAAGCACCCTTTCAAAGCACCAAGCAGTCCCTGGTGATGATGAAGCACAGAGGAGTCTCACCTTGTGGAGCAATGCAAAGAGGGCTCTGAGCTTCCCTGCTGCTGTCCGCACTGACCATCTCCCTCAGGAGTTGTAACCTGTGTCAATAGGTCGAATAGCCATATCAGGAGTCCTCTCCTTTCCCCTGAGATGAGCTTCCGGGCCCTGTCCTTGTCCTGTCCAATGGTTCCAGGCCACTTCTCCTCCATCCCAGGGAGGTGGCAGTTTGTCAAACATAGGGGTGAGTGGAGAAGGAGGAGGAGAATGGGGAAAGCTCCTGGCTGGACATCTGCTATTGATTTTGCCCAGGGCACATTGACTCCAGGCTGGTCAGGCAGAGACCTGACCAGATCTGGTGAAATACCTCCTGCAAAGGCTCAGCTGGCAGACACACAGCCCTTGTCCCAGAAAAAATCCTTGTACCAGATGAAACTTTGCATAGCTGAGGGCTGACCCTGGCCATTGCAGGAGTGATGCACACAGGATGTGCTATTACCTCCAGCAATGCTTTCTGGCCAGCAGCAGTTCCCCAGGGCTTTCCAGATAGCTGGAAGCTCCCACAGTTTTTGTCAGTTGTTGGAAATGTCCCTGCATGAGTGGTGCATGGATATTTTCTGCAAGCGGGAAGTCCAGCTCGACCACAAGAAGCCAATGGCCCAGCCAAGATGCTGTCCTCCCCAGTTCTCTGTTAGGTTTGCTAATGCTCTGCCTAGGCTATCGGTGAAACAATTCCAGCACATCCAGATGGAAGAGTCTCATTCTTTACTCTCATCCAATTCCTTCTAGTGATTAATTACTAAAATAAAATGTTAGAAAGAAAAAAACTGTTATAATTAGGCACAAGTCCTGATAATGACGTCTCTCTTGGAGGGCTGCATGCTGTGTCCCAGCACTTTCCCACCTCCCTCTGAGGTCTGTGGGCAGCAGATCGACCCTCAAAATGGATTCCCTTAGTGGGAAAGACACTGGGTTGGGCAGATGACAGCTGCTATGAGTGCCTTAAACATCGATCTCCATGTCTGAAAGCCCTGACCATGCAGCCCACAGTGCTCTCACCAGCACGAAAAGGAGGGTGTGTTTGCTGAGTGGCAGCTACTGAGGTCTGGCAGTGCTGGTGTGGGGACTCTGCCCTGTTCCATGATCTCTCCCCCTGGGAATTCATAACGTCTCCCTGGTCCCCATCACTTTACCAATGCTCTCCCTGCCATGCTGATAGCTCGGTGCTGTGCAGCAGTGATGACCCACCAGAGACCTCACAGCCATGGCTGCCCCTATCTCCTGGGCAAAATGCTCCTGCCAAGCCCTGTGCCTTGAGGCCAGGGCTGGCTGAGCCTCACTCTCCAGGTTAATGTGCTGAACGCTGGATCGATTAGAGCTTCAGCCCCATTTTCCATCTCCATCCGAAAACCCCATCACATTTTCCTGGCAAAAAATTGCCCTTCTTAAACCTGAGTCACTTATGATTCCTTGTGCTGATTGGTAATTTCTTCTCTTTTACTGGTTCTCCTTAGCAGGGCCCAAATCCCAGCAGGCAAAAGGGCTGGAAAAGCTGTAGGCAGAAAACACAGGTACCTGTGGTTTAGGGCTGAAATCCCTTCCCAGACCACTGCCCAGCACCCATGGGATTCAGGTGGCTGGTATCCCAAGGAGATGGTTGCTCTGCAGGGTGGGCAGTGATGAGGAGCCATGGGCAGAGGCACAGGAGAACCTCAAGCCTTGTTTTCATGAAATCACAAACTGGTCTGTGTTGGAAGGAATCTTAAAGCTTATTCAGTTCCAACCCCCTGCCATGGTCAGGGACACCTTCCACTAGATCAGGTTGGGGTCCACCTGATGGGAAGAGGATGCTTTTCTCAGTGCAACAAGCAAAGGAGAGCTTAAAAGTGTCTTTTCATCATTGTTGTCATCATCTAGGCAGATTTGGGGTATTTTTATCAGTTCACATCTTGCTTTAACTCTGCTTAATTTGCTCTTGAAATGTTGACCAAGGCAACGCTGGTGTTTGCTGCTGTCTCAGTCATAGTGCCACCTCTCCTGCCCAGGCTCTGTTACGTACAGGAGAAGGGATTCCTAGCAATTATAACTTCATTATTTTACTGAATGTGTGATTACAAATGGGAACTGCAGAGCCTGTTAAGGCTCTGAGTAATGAACACTGCAGTCAGGATACAATTAAAAAGAGCCCAGGCTCCCCTGGCCCCAGCTTTTGCTCCAAAGACAAGGGGACTGCTCAAAAAGCCATTCACCCCCCGCAAATCAGTTCTTAGTGACCGGGAAAAGACGGCAAATTCCAAAGGGAAAACACATAAAAAAACAGCCTGAAACCCAAAAAACAAAACACTTGAGAAATTTCCAGGCTGGTCTTTAATGAACAGCTCTTGTTCTGCCCGCGGGCGGTCCCCGGCATTTGTGTTAAGTCACAGTGAGCCTCGAGAGCTGCAGATTAGGCTGGAAATTAGCAATTGTGTTGTGGATGGGATGTCCCTTGAGAAAGACACAGACACAGAGCTGGGAGGTGCCAGCACGGCCAAACTGGCCCCTTCCCATCTGCCGGTCATGGTGATGCGGGTACCCCTGTGCGTCTGGAGACCAAAGTCTCTCCCAGAGCATGGCTTTTAGGCAGGATAACATTCTGGAAGGTGAAACATTTCTGATTTTGGAATCCATGGGGTTGGCATATCACACGGGGGGAGCGCTGGCAGGCAGCAAGCAAGAGCTGCAGTGATGCAGTCAGAGGGAATGCGTGCAGCAAGCGCCAGCAGCAGCTCTCCAAAGCCTGCACAGCTCCTGCCCAAGCCCAGCTCCTGCACGGAGCCAGCCTGCTGTCAGGGAAAGATGGTGCAAGTGAGTCAGGGATTTGGGCAAAGCGGCCTTTTCCCTGAGTCTGGAGGAGGACCCCATCAGGAGCATGAAGCAACCAGGAGCCATCAGCAGAGAGCACCAGGGATGACCACACACCCAAAATTCAGGGTGTGGTTTCGTAACTTCCCATAGCTGTCCCAAGCACATTGCTCCCAAAATTACATCTTGGCAGTGTAAATACAGAGCAAAGACGTGAGAGATGCTTCAGCCCAGCCATGCAGGAGGTGTTCTGCCTGTGCTAATGCTGGTGTGATAGAGTGTTATTAAACACAGAGAAAACTGTGCTGTCGACTGTCATCTCTGTGATCCCAGCAGTTATTTTAACTCCAGTAAATGGAATCATAGAATAACAGAATGGTTTGGGTTGGAAAGGACCTTGAAGCTCATCCAGTTCCACCCCTCTGCCACAGGCAGGGACACCTTCCACTAGACCAGGTTGCTCCAAGCCCCATCCAACCTGGCCTTGAACACTGCCAGGAATGGGGCAGCCACAGCTTCTCTGGGCAGCCTGTGCCAATTGCATGGTGAAAAAATCACACATTCAAAAAATGCAGGGAAAACTCCTCTTATACAGAGATATCAAAGTATCCTCTGCAACCTCAAGTGACTGATGCTGTTGGTCATTCATTGCACACACGTGGGTGAACTAGGTGCCTCCAGCAGGAAAATGGAGATGGGAGGAGAAGGAAGGCAGATGAGGAGCAAGAAGTAAATGAAGGGTGCAGGAGCTCATGGCAAGCCAGAGCCCTGGCTTTATGCCCTTGGGGCAGGCATGGGAACAGCAGGCTCCTGTCTCCCCTTGGCCCTCAGCTCAGGCTGCTGCCTTGCTTGTAGCACGTGGAACAGCACGGGGAAGAGAGTCAAAGAGCTGTCAGGTGTTGTTAGGGGTGTGACATCTCTTAATAAGGCCCATCTGGTTGGAAGGCAGTGGATCCGGCAGGATTTCTGCAGACCTGATGGTGAATGCTTTTGCCAAGGTTTTACAATCATCATTAATAAACATGCCAGGGTGGCGTTTGGCACCGTGCGCTCCAACTTCCCAGGGTGAGACTGACAAAACCCATAATTACAGCAAAAATCCTCGCTGTGCAGCACAGCTCCCAGACAACTCACTTCATCTCCTGTGGTGTGCGGGTTCCACAGACTGCAAACAGCCTCCCAGCTGACGGTCACTTCTGGTGGTGTACCTGTTTCCCATGGATGCTCCATCTCTCTGGGAGTGCATGCACAGATCACAGAATGATACAGTGGTTTGGGTTGGACGGGACCTTAAAGCTCATCCAGTTCCACCCCCCTGCCATGGGCAGGGACACCTTCCACTAGACCAGGTTGCCCCAAG